TGTATCGGAAATAGGAAGTCAGACAATTTCTGGCGCAATAGTTCGGGCTGTTTTATAACATTTAGAAACTGCATGATAAATGGGTTTCGTCATGGGTTTAGAACATTTTACGTAATTCTAAAATGACATTCTTTCAGGTCACCAATCTACATCACTGCTCAAAAAATCTCACATATACTCTAGTTACAATTTGTTGTGAAAACAATGACGCATTAATAAACTTATAATCTAACAATTACCCAACAGAAACAATAAAAGTAGCCTTATATGAAAGCTCATTTACTGCTTTGTTACGTGTAACAATTTTAATATAAAATTATATCCCCATTTTTATAATATCTCATCACACCGATTTTCGTGCTGCTAAATATTAGTACGTGAAATAAGTTTCTTGGATTTTGATTGCAAGTTGACGTGTTGTCATGGCTCAACTAATTGTCCGATCGAGCGGGATATAATCTGAATCCCTCGTTGAAATTTTCTGGTCCCAATTCATTAATAAGAAAATTGCCTCGATTATTATACAAAACAATGACAATTTAGACAAATCGATATTCCATCACAGATAGAATCAATCGCTTTTATCGTTTTCACTGAAGAGTTTGAATCGAGTGCGTTAGGTAGGGTTATCTTCAGCATCGGCATGGATGGGATCTCGTGCTATGTATTGGTTACAGGGGAAGACTGGGAGCCAGTTGGACGAAAAGACTGTAGGTACTACAATTTTCAGTGGCGGTGGCGATGGCGGTCCTATCATTGTTCGCATGAGATAAGCAATTTCTATAAAAGGAAATTGGCGGAAACATAAATTTCACGTCCCACGTCCACTGAATTGCTTCATGCTATATCGAAAAGATATAAGGACCAGATTTATCCGAGAAGGAAATACATTATCGGTTGGCGAATATTCTCGTACCGTTGCAGAGAGTTGGTGGAATCTTCCTCAAGAGGAGAAGAACAATACAAAAATTGAATAATACAGAGCTTCGTAACAGAGAATAATACACAATTGTTTATTGTTGTGATATATTTATGTTGCGCTCCGTAATTGTTAACAGCCATGTGTTTACAAATATACGAACTGTGCGAGAAATCGCTGTTTTAGGTCTCCATTAAGAACATTCACGTTGAAATCTGGTTAGATTCTATCAATGTTTGTCGACCTCCCCTCTATAAACACATTATATCAAAACCTCTTTAAAGGGTGTGCATAAAACCATTCCAAAGAATTTAATTGTGTAAAATAATACAAAGTAACATGATGTCAATCCATAATCAACCGAAAAATCACTACAGCACCACTTTTACGGCCTATCATATACCGTAAGCTTGCAAACATCCATCACAATCACGTCCATTACTATCAACTATGCTATTCTAAAAAGATTATTACATCGATAAATCAATATGAACATTAGTCCTGACAAATCTAAAGAAAAAGGATATCCAAGTCACATACGTCCAGTCATATAAATTAGGGCCGGCCGCCATTGCTGGGTGTGCCATTATGATGTTGTCCGCAGCATTTCTTGTATATTTTTACTACTACTAGGCCGACTCCGAGCACTGCAACTGTTATGCCCACTCCTATAAAAATGTTATCTTCAGTTTTCGTCGTTTTACTGCACGTAAAGCCGCCGTCAGTACAACTGTGCCCATTTGGACAACATCCACCCAGACTGTCTGTACAAGCATAGTATCCACTGGGGCAAGTTTCATCTTTCGTAAGGTTAGATTTCATTTGGGGAAGATTCGTAGTACCAGAACTCCTTTGCATCTCAGCAGAAGCCAAGGTTACAGCAGCTAGAACGAGTAATACGAGTGTGAAAATCTTCATATTGACAGTCGAGCGAGTTATAATAGGATAGTTATAATATGATAATTTGATGCAAAAACTTGGTTCGATAACTTGATGTGATAATTTATCTTCTTGATACAAAACGCGATTGCACTCGCTAGATGGCATATTTAAAGGTTTACCTTGTACGCCTTGTGAAATGTGTTGCATAATTGAATTTCCCTTTTCTCTCGTTGTTATGTACCATATATATAGAAATAAAAAGGCTCTCTGAAACAAAAGCATGTATATCCTCAAAAGGATCTGAAACATTAGCTGTTCGGTGGAAACAAACGCCGCAATTAAGCATTCGTTGAGTAAATAACATGTTGACGAGAGAATTAAAGACATACAGTATATTTTAATGCTAGAGAGCCTTTTTTTTTTCATGGTAAAATTGGCAAGTCTATTATTGAATCTATATCCATTACATTAAACATTTACCTATAATGAATGCACTGGATATAAGATTTGTCAACGCATATAATGAATAGCGAATGCTGTTTTACTGACACTTCTTCGCAGAAATTGCGATGACTAAAAAAGTTTGTTAGGAAGTTCTGGACTTTCAATGCAAAGAAGCTTGACCACAAATGTCAATCAAATTAATAAAGTTTATCCAAATCAGGTTAGATAACTGCAGATTTCAATATTTAAATGAAATAAATTTAATAAACCAAGTCAGACATAACCGACAAAAACTGACAGATAATAAGGATATTGAAAACGCTGCAACAATTTAGGCCATTTGTGATACATTTATTATTATCCGCGTTGCATCAATAAACTAATTGTATCAAATTACCTATTCTGGTCCATCTCATGCATATCGATATTGCGCCGAATAAAGACCTCAAATCTCCAGTACCGGGATTCCTTCCCACTTGCAATTTTATTATGATGGCGCAGCAATAGTCTTTGTTCGCAAATGCCTCTGGCAACGGCCGTGGCAGAAATGATAAACCTACGAATATTAATATCAAGATATTTAATTTATCCTGTCCTCACTACTGAAGTTCTGCTGTTCAATCCCGTCTTGTTACATACGGAGCTGGAAGTGATAAGGACGTCGACATTTTTACCTGCATATTTGAACAGGCAAGCTATTACGCTCTTAAAGTCCCCGATTCAGTATTCATGGATATGAAAAATACGCAAGCAGAATATCTCGATCGAATGCTAGATACGAATACAGTGCCATGCAGGTGCATTGACGAATGGGTGTTTCACGTCGATTAGCAGAGCGGTTTTATGCGACAACAGGACCCTTGGTTGGTCGATTTATTATCACTGTTTCGTATATCATGTCTTGATGGTCTCAAAAACAAAGCAAAATTATTTGTCAACGATGGAGCCTTCCTTTTAGGGGTTGGACGAGATTAAGTTACTGAATAAAAATCTATGTACCACAGACCCGGATAATTCTTCCGTGAGGAAAGTGATAACTGGTACCTATCTAATGTTCCGTAATCCCTGTTTCCACCCTGGAGATATAAGGGTAGTTACAGCGGTTCGAACGTCCGAACCTCGAACATTTGGTTGATGTTTTGATATTTCCAGCAAACGGATAAAGATATTTACCGAATATGTGTAGTGGAGGCGACTTGGATGGAGATGACTTTACGGTGGTTTGTGATAGAAGACTAATACCACCAATGGAATATCAAGCACCAAAACCATGTACGGTTACGGTTAATGATATCAAAAAATTCTTTGTGAATTACGTGTTCAACGACAAACAGCAATGCTCACGTGGCACATGCGGATAAAGAAGCAGTAGGTGCTATGCACTGTTTGTGACTAGCACGGTTACATTCTGAAACTGTGGACTTCCTAAAATAGGTGTCCTGAATTCTCAAAAGAACTGCGTGTAAAAAGATATGGATAAATAAACCAGCGACCTATTACTATCTCAAAAGATTCTTGGAAACCTGTACAGGACTATACAACTTCCACGTGATGACTTTAATCCAAAAGCAGACTATGATGTTACGAAACGAAATCTACTTATTAAGTCGCTTGACTTCCTCAAATATTAATATTAGGACAATACCAGTATTTCTACGAATTATTAACCTCACCCGGAATATAACAGAACAAGCATTTGCGTTATCACGGAATATTATATACACAAAAATGTCGCTTGCGGTTTATGCTCTTGTATGCGTTGATATGAAAATAAAAAATAATTGAATTCACATTTTGTGCAAATTACCCCTATAATGACCTTTCTTTTCTTTATTGCCGACTCTGACCCTATGTGAAAACAATTTTTAGTAAAGCGCAATCGAATAATGATAAATGCGCTAACTGTCGTTTGAGTCTTGGGTTCAAGGAACAAAGTTTATTCGTCGCGAATGGCATGCTATCACGTAAGCAGCTAAGAATTAACTTTAATTCAATTTGCAATTCTCGTGTTCCAAGTTCCTTCATCCTCAATCAACAATAGCAGATTTACCATGAAAGCTGAATCCTGTTATGTTCAATTTCACAGGTAAACGCATAAGCATTAAACTCGGATAGTTCATCCTCGGCTCTTTGCCGCAGTCATTCTCATATCTCCCTCATATTTCATCTCTACATGCATTCGAGCATCCAATATATGCGATGTGAGAGAGTACTAACGCTAATGTTATGTAGACGAGTATCCGGTGTGAAAGATTAATATTACGTAGAACGTATGCGTGAGAAATGTAGAACATAGATCAATGTATGCGTGAGAAAGGGTAATATTATGTAGAACGTAGATCAATGTATGCGTGAGAAAGTAATATTATGTAGAACGTGGATGTATCGCGTGAGAACGTGGATCAATGTATGTATTTATATTAATATACAAATAAATGTGACACGAATATAACAGATATCGCATATTTAGTATCGGTATATTCGGGACGTAACAGATTGACGACCATATGTGCAAAATCATTGGTGCCGATGAATCAGGGGCCAAAAAAGTTCTGTTACCGTTTGTCGAAACTTTTGGTAGCCTAGAACAATAAACTATTTGCTGATAAAAGTAAAAGTAGATATTGATATTGATATTGAAAGCATCGCTATAACTTTTGTACAGATACATCAATGCCTAACGCTCTACGATAATTGTGTAACATTTACTAAATTGGGAATGATTTCAAGCATTCTGATTGGTAGATCTTTCTGTATTTTATCTTCCTATTTTGTTGATTCCTTTTCCCTTTATATTTATATTTAACAATTCTTTCATATTCTGCAAAATGTCACAGCTTAATATTAACGAAATAGTAAGCCTTTAGCGAAGGGACAACGAGTTATATTAACTCGCTCTATTTCAAACATCTATTGATAATTTTATTCCTGTTAGTCAAGTAAACAATAAAGCTTGACATAACTTTGAGGAGCTGTGCCTCAAGCTTGAGGAGCTGTGCCTTTAAACTTATGATAAAACCACAGCCCCGTCGGAGCACCATTTCCCCAATGCTAGCAGCAGCAGATACCCTGCCTAACATTGAACAACTTTGAGGAGCTGTGCCTTAATAGTCTCCGGTCAGCACACCAACACTAGAACAGACCCCTCGGAAATCTACTATGGGGATGGACGAAGTTGTCTTATGACACTTAGAACAAGCTACTGAGGATACCTGCAGCTAATCCTCATCACTGATTGTTTGGGCGGCCTAGGCAATAATCGCCAGCGTACTTACCAAGTATATGGAGCCGCTAAACAAGATGAAGAAAGTTATGGGTTGTGTTGTACTTACCAAGTATATGGAGTCGGCAAAGCAGGATGAGGAAGGTGATGGTCCGGGTGGTTGTCATGTGCAAGCGGTACATGACTATTGTTTCACTTAATCATAATCAGTTCAGAAGATATGCAAGAATGGCTTAGAACTTTTATTCACAGCGGCAAGCGGTACATGACGGAGACGTGTTATAAAAGATTAGCTAATGTTGGTAAAGTGAAAATTAAACTTCACTGTGAATTGGAGGAAGAAGTAAAAACTTGTTCGATAATTGTCAAAAATGTATTACACAGTATATAGTTTCAGTTTGATGAAGTAACAGTTTGTGATAAAATTTTAGAAAATAATAATAATGTACTTTATACAGACATTTTATTAGAAAGTTTCTTCACTCATGTACAATAATAATTGCTAAAACCAAATAAATTATCGAAGTATTTGCTTCGTTGGGAATGTCACTTTCTGGAGTTTGCATCAATAATTCTTCTATTGTACAACTGGCAAGGCTTGGATTGTTCAAGTCGCTTTGTGATGACCCAATATTTCTACAACGATTTCCTAGAATAGAGTTTGTTGACTACATGGTAACCTCTTTCAACGAGATTAATCATTATTACAATTGAGAATGTTAGTAACAGTTTGAACTTGAACAACCCTAATACCAATGATCCCACAATTACCTGGATTACAAGCTGAGGCACATCTTCAAGGTTGACAAACATCCAAGTTTCTGTTTTGGCTGAAAACGATGCACTAATACTAAATGCGAGAAACTCAGCAAATTTAGATGATAGTATACTCAACATCTCAACGTCTGCGGCTGCCAATAGTGTGAATATTGGCGCAATTTTAGAATAATTGGAAAACCAAGAATGAAACTCTGCTTTCTTGAACCATGATACAGAATGCAAGAACTGCTATTACACGTAACTGGAACGACGAACGCCAAAATGTCAATAAGTTTGGAGCATCTCGGTTATTTTTGTATAAGAATAATATATCGAGGACATATCCTGAAGTATAAATATGCTGGGATCGTTTACCTCTTTGTATTTGTATCTGGGATCATCTGCAGAAAAAATGTCAATTCAGATAGTATACTTAACGGTGTATTAAACTGCATATCCAGATAATATTCTATACCGTGGACTGACCTCCCAAGATTTATTATCGTTCACTAACCATTCAAGATCGTACATGAAAGAATGTCCATTCTTCGTATATCCCGCAAAGCAAAGTCACGAGTGAACATAATTCATAGTCATCTATGTAAATAGTAGTTAAAAAGACGCTAGATTTAGTCTACGCTCATAAAACTATAATCACAATTCATCAGCTAACTAGTACCTCAACATTACCCGTGAACACAATTGACATTGTGAAGGCTTTAACCATCCTCATCACCCGTCGGCCGCACTCCAACATAAAGTTTTGCACCACAAATCGTTCATAATGGTCTGACATTCGTAACATGCACTCCTTCAAACCCTTTACATTCCATGACGGAATCAATCTCGACCGCGAGGATGAACATCGGACCAGGGTTTTACGTGCGGTTGACGTGGGCTTCTATATATTCTTTCTCTTATTATCATGACATGTATGATTTTGATCCATCCCTCAGTCACTTGCATCCAGTCATAGTCTGTCGTCAGGGTAGAAGCCACCGTGAGAATGACAAGCACGATGACTCACATTCACCTGTCGAAATCAAGTCTCGATAAGCTAAAATTCTGCTTGCGTAGACCGACTTTTAGGCTCGGAATCCTGCCTCATCTCGCTTTGTTTTTGTAGCAGATTTTTGTCCCTTAAGGCCCGAACCCATTAGCTGTATAAAGCTTGCCAAACTTGCAGCGCTGATATCCAAGACGTGCAGATGGTATCAATTGAAGACTAGGGTTGATTAATCTTTTGTACAGGAATCTTTGATAATCTTATCGTAGCATAGACGTCCAAAAATCCAATCGGTCCGTGCTGTAAAGATAGGATAGGTAATCTTGATGGATTCCCATATTTTGCATCAGCCGTCAACTATAATTATCAAATATGGTTAATAACTAATTGAAACAATTTTATACTACAGCTCAATCAGAATAACTTTACCTGATCAAGAAGTACTAGCCTGGGTAAGGCTTTGGTAGTTTTACAATTGCGATCTTCATTTTACCTGACGTCATTTCAAACTCAAACGTAAGATACTTACCTAATTTGGAGTTTTGCGTTCTTTATTTGTCTACACCTACTTACCTAATTTGGGCGCCGATTATAAAATACTGATTTGGGAGAGGTGTGTACACAAGCCAACAGTCTAATGATCGGAATGTAAGCATTTCTTGTGCTTCTCGGATCAGTTGCGTTCGTCGCAAAATGCGAGGAAACAGCTCACCGCAAGGTATTGCAGTAAATTCATCGTAAGCGCTTTTTTTTCGGTCATTCTCACCACCGTCAATAGAAGTTAATTACAAACACAGGACCGAGCGCTGATCATCATGTGATCTTATACTAGAAAGTGTTAATTTTCACTTACTCCACCGGATCTAAATGGCGAATCTCGACCCAAAAATTATGAGAAAACCATTCATATGATCTCAAAAGTGTCGATCCAAATGGCAACACCCAACAAAAATTATGAGAAAAAACTATTGTTTGCTGAATTCATAACCTTAGAGGCTTGCAAGAAATGGATCGGTTTTCCATCTAGCGGAATGTACATTATCAAATCGGCCGTTCAACCAGTTGGCCTTGTAAATAATCGTACTATAATTTTATTCTATGACATGTATAAAATAAAGAAACCTTTCCACTTTATTTGGCAAGATCTTATGAGCACCTAACTTCCCTTTAACTTACCTACCTGCCAAATTTGTCAGGGAAGGTAAGCTGATGAGAGCACCCTATATTTATAAATCTTATTTAGAAGTTAACCCGGATTCTCATCTCACAGTTGGATACTCATAATTCTATAAAGCACTTAAAAGCATTGTCAAATTTCAATCTCTTATATAAGACTTTGAAAAGTTCCTGAAATAAATCTAACTTTAAAATTGGGATGGTGTCTTCATTGAGTTTAGGCAAGTAAAGTGTTTTTCTTTTAACATTAAGTCCTTTTGTTGCAAGTTGGCAAATCTATGCTTTCAATACCAGTATAATTTCTGGTTGTTTTGACCTGTTGACTCTTTTGTATTATAAAATTTGGTTGTTTGTTGCAATTTTATTATTCAATTCTAAAGTTTTGAATATTAATTCTGTAATTATTATAGTCAAGAATCAATGGCGTAAGACTTTATCTCCAAGCTTGTTAAAGTTGTTATTAATATTAATATTCTTTACCTAAATAGATAAGTGGTATACATTTTTGGAAAATTTAGAGTAGAATTTAGTGTAGACAAGTCGCGCGTGAGTTAGATGACTCGAGAAAATATATATCTTTGAATTACGTTTCTGGAATATTTTTCGCTAATTAAAAAAAAAAAGAATGTCTACATCAAACCTATATTCACGTATATATGCAGCTTGTTCGAGAATTGAGTCTGGCTTATATCTCTTTAAACAACTACTCATGTTCCTCGATGAATTTGTATTACGATGTTAATAGTAGTACCTGCGTTAACAAGGGCTCCTCTGCTTTAGGTAAACTGCATAAAATATTTTGCCACATTCTACAAATGTGGTCATTTTCGGGGGGGGGGTAAATTTAAACATTTAAACTAAAAAATGAGAACGCCCAATTTGTGAAACACTGATAAGACATTCGATGGTGTTACCATGGGCGGCATCAATGGCCTGGGCACCATGGGAAGATTTATGCATGTACTATGTATATCGTTATGATTATTGCTATCTACGATGGTCAAAATTCATTAGTAGAACATGTTCAATCTCCCGGCTTGTTATCTCGCAAGTGGTATGATAGAGCTAATAAATATATGCTACACTTTACTGATAAATCATCTCTTAAAATATCGTATAACCTCGTTCATGGATTGAAATTCTATTTTTACACTACACGTTCGATATACGAATGATGTGATTATGTAGATAACGAGTTTATCAGACAATGAGGTAATTATGTATAGTTAGTAGCAACGACAAGTTTCGTTGGTAGAAAGAGTATTACTTTATTTTTTGGCTTGGTAATTGGGCCAACGACCGATTTTATTATTATTATTGTGTACTGAATATTAGCATAGGAATAAAAGGAATGTTCATAAACAAATTGATACATGATAATCCGGAGTGGTGTGATGGCGGTGCGATGGTTATGGTACATTTGATGTTGGCCTCATTATCATGTTTGTTAACGAGGCACTATGTTATTTAAAATGAATTAAATGATACATGATAAAAATTGATACATGAAATAAATAGTTGTTTTGTTTGTGTTGCCCTGTCAACAATTTTCTAGTTGGCATACCGGGCAATTATGTGCTACCGGCACCGTGTAGGCCGGCACCGTGTAGGCCGACACCGTTGGTCTGCTTCTTGGGCCTTCCTAAGATATTTATCTTAGGAAGATTCCAGCTACGGCATCGGTAAACTTTCGAGGGATTAGGATGCCTTTGCGTCCGCAAAACGTAAATTATTTTTGACCTCTATTAGTTACAGTTGTAACAGACTTCAGATACAAGTCGTATATAATGCTTACCCGTTTCCATTTCAGTTACATGGTTCCATTTTGTTTGGTTGTCCTCTCGCGTTAGAAAACGATAAAATTTAGAGGACGAGGAAGAAGCGAATGGTATTAGACCGATATAATTTTTCATAAATAGATTTGAATTTTTGAATTTTTTTTGAGGCAAGGAAGGGAGAATAACTTTAGTGAGTTGACGAGTGTGGGGCACTCTTATTATTATAGGCATTGTTTACAATGGATTAATAATCCTCCATTGTGTTTGCGGAAATCGGTAGATTAAATCAGCAGAATACTATTGGATATGGTATAATTTATTCATTCTCAAATCTTCTTCTCTGTCTTGTCCAGATTGGGACTAGTAACAAAGTGATTGAATGTGATACTGCATCCTTGTCATTGCATATAATAATAAGGCCAATCCTAGTTTAGCTATGTAGCTTTAAATGGTTTAGTCATGATACAATACATCAATACTATTTCACGTGTTTTCTTTGTTTTTGTTTGATAGCAGGGTTTGTCAATGAAACAATACCCTCGTTCACACTTTACCATTAACAATATAGTAAAAGGCTTCTTTTTATCGTTTTGTCTGGTGACAAATGACAGCAAGGTAGTTAACAGGTATAGTTCCTTGACAGAAGAGCGTCCAAGCAAGAAGATCACGGGTTCTGTAAACAGATCTCAGATGATACATTCGAAATCTAAGATTAACAATTGTTTTAAGCCGATCCTCACAACCATCTAATCTAACCATACGGATATAGCAAATTCACATGTGAACCTGATTATTAGAACGAACCATCTTGTGTCAAATAAAATTGCATTCTAAATGGTGTACGCAGTAGCTGCCTTTAAATGGTAAGTCGCGCCCGATAATCGATGCATTGTAACGAGGAACATGCAAGAGTATTTTTACGCCCGCATCCCTTCTACTCGAATTTTCTATTGGCCACGGACAATAAGACACGTTTGTGTGAAGTCATGTTCAGTATATTTGATCAAATAGTGAACAAATACTCGACTACTGTTCAATGTAATAGTGATACGCAATTGCAATTTTTATCGTTAGGTATCCACTTATTCGATATATTAATAGTATCTGTGTATTAACGAAGTTCGTTATTAATTATAAAAATCGGTTCATTCGCTATATTCAAAGTTCAGTATAGCCAAGCTTGGTGTAGTATTGACGGAGGCGTTATGAAAAAGTCGGCCTTTAGGAATACTGTACGTGGAGACGATAATAAACTCTCATAAATTCCTTAACATACACTGTATCATACATAGAAGTTTATCTTGCGTATATTCCATAATAATAATGAGTATTATTATTATCGTTATACCGATTTCCATATCGAGTTGACGTATAGAGCGAAAAACTTGTCACGCGTAAATTGTGAATATATTATTAATAGAAACACGAAATCTGACATAAAAGCCGTAATAATAAAACATAAAATATTTATTCCATAGAGATTGGATGTCCATGTTTAGATAAGGAAGGAATCTGTTTGCTTTATTTGTTTCAAGCTTCAACTGCTGCTGCAATGGATTTAACAGACAAAATTAAAGTTTGGGTTCTTCTCACCTGCAGTTTCATCAATTGGTATTTACAGTATATCATCAGATATGCTCTTTTTTGCAATAAATAAAACTTGGTAATAAGCAATCAACTTTTATAAAATCTGGACATTACTTTAAAGTTTGGTAATCGTTGCAGAAAATAATAAGACATCAACTACCGTATTTCTCTGACCGCGAGTAAAATACCCCTCAGCAGTTTTGAGGCCTGATTTTGTAAAAGACCCGGGTACTATTCTCGAAGAAATAAATATCATCAAGTAAAATATCCGGGTATTATAAACAAATAATTTCATGCAAAGTACCCCCTAGCCATCTACCATATATTCTCATATAATATATCATCTTCATAAACGTCTCCATCAATATTACCCATCCACGAGAAGCATCTGGCGAGCCGTGAAGGATTTTCCAGGCAAAGTATAACCTCTAGTTTAATTCTGGCAAAAGATTATCTTGGAGAATGTATACAACTACAGACCGTTTATCTACTGATCCCTTCGAGAGATCGTTAATTATTTGATGTTGGTTATTAGATGGGGTGAATGATGACACCGCAGCAATCGCTTCTGGATGCCTCATTTCGTTCCATGGTAGTTTACATAATGTGATAGCATTGGGATTACGCTCTGATGTGTCATTATTCTCTTTGACTACACCGCACCGATACACCGATAAGAGTACTATAACTATTTTTCAGCGCCTTCCTCTCACAGAAGTTGTACCTGTCTTTTCTAATCCCTTTGCGGATTTGCATTGTTTGTGGCATTTGCGTGTCTTGGGTTTTGATGTCGTTGTGCATTGTTTGTGGCATTTGTGCGTCGTGGGTTTGATGTCGTTGTGTCTGGGATTTGCATTGTTTGTGGCATTTGCGTGTCTTGGGTTTGATGTCGTTGTGTCTGGGATTTGCATTGTTTGTGGCATTTGCGCGTCGTCGTTGTGTCTGGGATTTGCATTGTTTGTGGCATTGCGTGTCTTGGGTTGATGTCATAGTCCGGTTCTTCGTCGTAGCGGAGTTCATAAAGACACGGGACATCCTTCTGGCTTGTCAGTATTTTCAACACATCCTCTTTTTAACCAATAAAACCTTCCCTAGATCTACTGTTTCCAATCCATCTCATTGAAATATGAAACTATCTTCAAGACTTCATTGCGTCATCGCTTGTGGTTTTCTTCGATTCCACGTGTCAGTTGCTATTCAATCTGGAACATTGGCTGGTCGGAATAGTGTGCGTTGTAGCTATTTGCGTTTACGCGCTCGTGAATCCAATAAAATCCTCTAGTCCTAGAAGTCATGAAATAGAGTTGAGCGGTTAGCATCTAAAATAATATTGCTAATGGGTGTCATGACAATCAGTAATAATAGGAAAGTTCATGCTTAAATACAGGAATTTTCAAATTTGCAATGATTTCCATTTCGCGAATTTTCTGTTATTATATGCAATTCACAGTTTAAGTATCTAGTATTCACTTACAGCTTAAAGTATACGCAACACTATTAATCGGAGGAAGTCGAATGCCATTAATCATTTGTGCACACAATGACTGCATTTTCTTATACATTTTCTCCGGTATTGGCGTCATCATTCCGATGTTGACATCCAGAGTTCCTGTACAATTTATTTAATTCCATTAGTATTCCCTACACTTGACTTTATTTACATCTTTGGTCCACTTAACTAGTACACAACTTTCTCCACATTTTCGCCCATGACCCACTCACCACGCAAACATAACTCATCAAAGATCCTTATTCATTACATGCCAATGTTCTGGGTTTTTTTCTGGGACTATGGTATGGTATTCCCTTTCTTGTAAGGTAGACACTGGGAAATGCATTACGCGTATTAACAAGTTATGGTTAGAATTACAAGTAGCCAAAGCGTAAGAGTAGACAGTCCTCGACGAAAATACTGGCGGAGATTTGAAATTGTACACCTTTGTTCTTATTATATTTTTGCTCGACAGAAATCAATACTGATAAGATACCTTACCATACCACGTATCCTCGTTAACTACTTCTGCGTCTTCCATCAATATGTCGCGCATATTTAAATGCACGCAGCCATTCACAAAATGAACGGATTCGATTTTCATGTTGATTTGTTGTTCTACTGCCGCCGACGTGCCATAGTTGTTGATGAGAGGATATGGGGCATGATCTATGAAAATGATGCATTCGTAAAAATAGCTGATCGTCAGAAATCATCTTCAAAGAAATTGGGCCGTTTTGATGATAATTATCCCCATTTTACATGTCACCCCAAAATCTAAGCATTATTATTATTGTTATGATTATCGGCAAGGATTTTAGGGTACATATTTGAGATTTGTGACGACCTTCTTTGTTGTGCTACTGAACTTCTAACTGCTGTTGCGAAAAACTTTACTATTGCACTTGAGGTCAGGAAAAAGCCACAGGATAGATAGCATACCCAAGTATATATCCCGCACAAAAACTAAATTTGTACCCCAAATCACCAACTACTCATTTTCATAGATCAAAAGCGCTGAAATCCGGCTGAAGCTGAAACCATGATCGCATGGGATGGTGTCAAAATTTTCTAGTGTTGTGTTACGACAGAACGCTTCTTCGTTTCTACATTGTAATATTGATCTAGGAGAAGAATAAGGGGACGAGGAAAAGAGCATCGGCTAGAGAGAGAGCAGAGATAAAAGGGGGCGTTTATGAGAATGTTGCCAATTAAGAAACAACTATTCGTCTTCTCATAATATTGTTCTAGTACCAATTAAAAAGCATTACTAGAAAAGAATTTGTAATAGTTTTTGGCAACAGTAGCTATTTATATTAAAGATCCATTAAACTTTCTTACCATTCATTTACGCATATTTTCAGCATTAAGAGAATTTCAGCCAACGTACCAGATCTGCTCAATCCATAATTTACATCTCCAATGCACAATCTGTCCATTTGATGATATTGAGTTTTAATCGAATGCCTGAGATAGAGTTGACGATGTGAAGAAGGCAATAACTATTCCCACTACTGCTATTATTCCTAATTGAAAGTGGCGCTTGGGTTGATTGCATGTCAGGATTGATGTACGTATGACGTACCCTGGGCAATTATTAAATAATCAACTAATCATAAGTATAAGTAATTATCAATTTTCAAATTTACTTGCCTCATTCTCAGATTCTATTTCGTAGCAGAATATGCTTCCATGTAAAGTCTAAATCCATCAACACACAATGCAGTTCGATATTTCGACCAGCATGATTTGGAACCACACTTTCAGGTTCATAAGACACGATGTTACCCTGAGGAAAACTAACAGTAAAGTTAGAAAAAACACTGTAATACGCAATCTTTACTTTGGATAATACCTCTTCGTTCGCGCACAAACTACCAACAATAAGAGATTGCATCCACATGTTCAAATAATAATGCGTATGTCTATCCATCCTCAATGCCGCCACCTGTTCTAAATTATAAAACAATGATTTCCATCTTTCTCTACCTGACGCGTAAATGGTTTTAAAACCGTGAGACTAGCTTTTACATTGTCAGACAGGAGCTCGGCGATTTACTGTGAAGATTGTCGTAGAGAATGAAACAAGATCATAACGTAGCATAAGTTGTTGTGCCCGCACAATCCAAATGTATCGCATCTTTCGCTGTGGCAGTCTCTCAACAAGCAAATTATCAATGTTATTATTATCTTTCCTTATGCTTCATTGTTTGCACTAATTTATCGAAACTAGCATCTATGCTAATTTGTTATAACATACTATCAATAATAAAGTCTATGACCACCAGCGATAATAAGTAAATAGATACAATGTGCTATATGTTAGCGTCAATTACTGTAACGTACCAGCAAGTTTTTTTTGACTTGTCAATCCATCAATTTATCAACACATCAGTCCTGCTGAGATACGAACTCGAAGTGACGAGTAAAGTTATAGTGTTATTTATTCTCTATAATGGACAAATTTATTTATTACATTACAGTACGACTATATGTTTGCGATTCATCCTAACCACATGAAAGAAAGCTCCATAGAATGCAACTAAGTAAGTGTTGTAAGTCTGGTTTAACGATTTCATTTCCTACTCCAGTTTAGTTATTTGAGTCTTTATTGAAACGGATTTGACTCTAAACTCAATACATACAAGACAAATAACGCATGTTGAATTATTAAAGAATCTTTCTGTTATTGCTATTATGAATATGACGGTTCCAAAGAGAATGCAAAATTGCAAAAGGATAAACCTCTTTTTTTTTTGTATATACAAACTGTTCCTTCTATACATCCTCGTTCTAAAAATAATGTTTAATTTAGGTATTATAACCTTATAATTTGAATTTCCAATGTTTACGTAATTAAAATTTACGCCCGTGTATTACGCGCTCCTTTGTTTTTGTTTTTCCTTTAAACTATCTTTAAACTTCATTCTAAATATTTGATTCTGCTCCCCGTTTACTTTAAATTTTTCTTCTCTTTCTCTTGCCTTTTCTGGTGTTTATTTTATTTTATTTTATTTTATTCTTTTTTAATTGTCCATCTTGACAAAGCCGAACGTAGAACACTCCTCGAGAAAATATAACGTTGCGTTTCGTCTCGCATTCCAGAGAGTAATTGGCGACGAAAGAAGCCGCTTGTTTCGGAGGTGGCCATTTGCATATTTAGATGCAGGCGTATAGCGTTAAAAAGGCCGGCCTCCGTTTAGGAGGCTTGTTCTCCCAGGTGTAAGCTAATCTGACACAGCATTATTATATAACTTCATATAAACATATGAAGTTGTCACAAAGTTAACCTATTATAATTAAAGATGAACTGCTCATTATGATAGTAATTATTATTATTCTAAGTCAATGTATGGTTGTATGTTGCAATTTAATTAATTATAATACAGATCTGTGCCATACTAATATTTATTCTTACAGTATAAGATATAACTGGGTAGGGATATATGTAAATGGAGTACAGTTGTACTTTTAATTTTAGCGTTAGTAACACAAGTCACAATTACCCCAGTAAACTCCAAGATCTTGTTGCAATCACAAGATCAAATGCTGTTGTCAACACCATTTTCTATTTCAGCCAGTTAGAAGCTTTGCAATTTTGTATTGCATAACACAAATGTCAACTCTTTGTATCCTTATTGTCCAAGTTGCTGCAGAGCATGCTAGGAGTTTGTGTATCTGTCATTGGTGTATAGTACAGTGGAGAGGAATGTTGGCCATGGCAACAGTGAATATTAATATGTGCAAGATAAAGAATGCAGAAGAGAACATCTGTTCTCTAAAATCATCCACTACACTAAATGGGGGTAACTTTGAACATCAGGAACTGAACTTTGGTTCCTAGAATGAGGATTGCCATCTCCTAGTTGAAAATCTCTGCACATCTTTTACCAAAACCAAAACCACATCCCACTAAAAAACAATCCCATAAAACTAAACTCCATTTTGTTGTGCCACATCTTTACCAAAACCAAAACCACAACCACATCTTTACCAAAACCACAACCACATCTTTACCAAAACCACAACCACATCTTTACCAAAACCACAACCACATCTTTACCAAAACCACAACCACATCTTTACCAAAACCACAACCACATCTTTACCAAAACCACAACCACATCTTTACCAAAACCACAACCACATCTTTACCAAAAC